GTGTGGTACTGAGCATGTTGCACAACTGTCCTCAACAGTGTATCTGGCTCTGCCTCAGACTAATCTAATGATGTTCAAAACTCATTTAAAAAAATAAGTGCAATTCCTTGACAACCATGTTTGGAAACTTAGTGTTGTTTGGTGTGATACGTAACTAAGTCACTTAATCTTTAATGCATTTCTAGTCTTTACAGGAAAGTGAGGAGGATGAAATTGGGAATCTTGAGCTAGCCTGGGACATGCTGGAGTTAGCAAAAGTCATCTACAAGAGGTAAAGGCTTAAGTCCCAATTTGGATATCTGCTAGAGAAGGTCACTGGAAACTGGGAGGTGGCAGAAACAATTAGTGGATGTGGCATAATCTGATCAGGATTCTGAAACTTTTTTCCCTTGATTTAGACAAGAAACAAAAGAAGCTCAGCTCCACGCAGCTCAAGCTCATCTAAAGTTAGGAGAAGTTAGCATTGAATCTGGTAAGTGACGCTGATTCTCATGCACGGTTCCACTTTCTGCCCATCTCTGTCTCTTACTTTAAAATGTGCAAAGGCGAGTTAAGATTGTTAAGATGAAAACAAAATACACATTGTTTAATTCTGATAGTGCAGCCATTTGAGAAGCTTTAGAATCAATGGATGAACAAGTTGATGTCCTAAGCATGCTTTTCCAGGACAGTGAAAAGAAAGCTCTGAGTAAGAAGTCATGTGTAACCAGATCAAAACCAGCTTCTTGTTGCACTTTATAGGCAAGGTTTGTGTAGCTTCAGAAACTGAGGAGGAGGACTCTTTCCTTATTGAAGTAGTGAGTCACTGGGCACAATGGGAGGTGTTGGTACCGTGCCAGTTCCAGAACACACAGACTGCAAATAAAAAATGGGTGATTCTCAGGGACTTTCCAAAACACCAGGGCATGGTCTGGGAGGACCCTGGTGTGTTATGCACAAGAAAAAAGGAGTGTTGAAGCAAGACCTTCATGCCTTCTAATGCTTTTTCTACCCTTCACTTAAAAAACACGTGTTTTAATCTTGTTAAATCCAAGTAGGGTAAAATCTTCTGCTATGGCAAGCACTGGAAATAATGTGACAGGTTTCTGGACAGGGGCTACAAAGCAAGGGTTGTGTTTTATGTTGTTAGACTGCCTTGACTGGGAGGCAGCAGGGGACTCTCCTTCGCTCTGGGTTTGAGTTGCACTCGATTAATGGCGGGAGGTGAAACAGCAGGATTTGTTTGCCTGGTTTTGTCTCGGCTGCTCAGTTTGCTGTGTGGCTGTAAATGGACAAAGCACTTGAGAACTGGAGGAACTGGGCTCAGAAGGTTCTGTGGTGTGTGTGGGGTGACAGTGTTGGACTGTGAGTGGTGTCATTTGACAACCTGAAAGCAGCCTGTCACTGAACTCACTGCTGTATTCAACGGTGGTTCTGTCTTCGGACTATATAAAGAGCAATAAAGTATGGAGTGACTTGAATAAGGGTTTAGATCCCGTTTTGAAGGATGAGGGTGGTTTGTAAAGACCTTATGCCTCTCTCCTATAGAAAACTACACGCAGGCCATCGAAGAGTTCCAGGCCTGCCTGGCCCTGCAGCAGAAATACCTGGAGGCTCACGACCGCCTGCTGGCCGAGAGCCACTACCAGCTGGCCCTGGCCTACCACTACAACAGCCAGTTCGATGAGGCCGTCCTGCAGTTCGGTAAATCCGTAGAGGTCATCGACAAGAGACTGGGTAAGTGGGTTTCTCCAACTGCTCAGGGAATGTGAGACCTTTCAGGAGTTAAAGCAGACTTCCTTGAACTGCCCTGAAAAGAGTTGGATGTGCTTATTTATCTCACTGTGCAAATCTTTACTGGTCTGAAGCTGGTAACGAGCTATACTAATAGCAGAATTGTTGCAACAGTGTGTTTTAGCGGATGCTTGGCCGTGTGGATGTTGATAACTGGGCAGGTACTTTGTCTTGATGTTTTTGCCCTGACTGTTTGACCCCAGCAATGCTCACTGAGCGAATAAAGGCAGCAGAAAGTGGGTCCCCTGAAGATGAGAAGGAGATTGAAGAACTGAAGGGGCTGCTTCCTGAAATCAAAGAAAAGATAGAAGATTCCAAGGAGTCTCAAAAGAGCGCAAGAGTAGCTGAGCTGGCACTGAAAGCGACTCTGGTTAGTGCGTCCTGCAGGTTCCTTCTAACCAAACGTTCCTCCAGCCATGCTTGAAATAAACCAGTGACAGGAAGATCGTGCAGATGGGGGGGCTGGTGGCTGCTCACAAATCATCCAGGCTGTGATTGTGGGAAGGAAACTGAGGTGGCTGAGATCTAGAGAGAGGGTAGTTAGTAAATACACTGATGCTAATTGTTCCAATCTGAACTGGAATTTGATGGGCTTCTGTAGCAATGTAATGTGGTGGGGCTGGAACTGGTTGGTCAGCCAAGAGTGGGAATGGACCCAGTGTCCCGTCACTGTGAGCTTTCCCTCCCTCTGTCCTGTGTGTGGGTGGAGGAGCAGAGCGCAGCGTTGAGATGGGGAGGAGTTGGGGTTTCTGTCCCTTTCTAAACTATTGTAGGTAATTTTGTGTGACTAGATTACCAGAACTCGTTCCACTGTTTTCCTTCTGCTTTTTTCTTAAGGTTGGAACTACATCTGGCTTCGCACAACGTGAAGACAGTGGTTCTGTTTCCACAGTAAGTTAATTTTGAGATGGATGTTGAGAATTCCTGCCTGCTCTAAGGATTAGGGTTTGCTGTAACTTACGTGATGACAATGTTCTGTCTTGCAATAGATTCCAGTAAGAAAAGCAGCTGATGGTGCATCTCAGTGTGTTACGGACATCTCTCACCTCGTCAGGAAAAAGGTGAGTCTGGAAATGACTGGTTCAACAGTTTGTTAAAGTGCCACTGGCTGGCTCTGTATAATCCCATTTCTTGGCTCAAAGCTTTTTTTTTTTTTTCCTTCTATAATGGAGAAAACACTCTGAGTAAAACTAGAGCTAGTGCATGAAACTCCTTTCCACTGGGAGCCAATCAGTCTGGGAACCATCCAGCCTCCAGGAGACCAGTTCCTGGTGGTTCAGCGCCTGGCCTGACCCGCAGGGGTTTAACTCCCCAGCTGAGTTGTGTGGCTCCTGCAGGTGCTCTCTGAACAAGTGTCCTCCTCTGCTGAGGATCCACAAGAAGAGCGGGGTGGCCTGCAGATCTTAAAACAAACAACCAAACAAAAAAAAACCCAAACAAAAAACAAACAAACAAAAAAACCAAACCAAAAAGGCAAGCAACCAGGACCAGGCTGAGTTGGGTTCCCTTCTTTCCAAGTGGAAATGGAGAATTGGACTCTGGAAAAACAAATCTAGCAAAGCCAGTCTAATGGTAGTAATGACAAACTGCCTCTCGCTGAGATAATAAAATGTACTGAGCATGAGGTTCCTTTAAAGGTCTATGTGCTTTTTGTAGAACTGTTTGCAAAGATGACTAAAATCATCTCTTACGGGACCTTAGTTTTAGTTCTGCGTGTGGCCCTGGCCTGGCCTGTGTCACATTGGCCTCTCTCAGCTCAGGTTTGCCTGAAGCAGCTTTGATCTGCTCTTCACAGGTGACTGTAAATGTCACAGGTGCCTTAAATCTGTCCCGTTACCTGGCTTTGCCGTTGCATGTTTCCTTCCCAAACTGTAACTAAGGATAATCCAGTGCTGTAGATACCGGCACCTAAATGATGTCTTCCTGGAAGTCCTTGGTGGTTGAGACCTTTCCTCCAAAGCTTCAGGGCTTTGCTTAAACCCTACCACTTGGGTGTCTGTCTGGAACCGGGCAAGCAGGGGTTGAATAGATAGCGTGCGATGACAGCTAGATGCTAGCTTCCTTAAAAATATATATATATATATAAATACTTAAAACTTTAATTTTTACATAGTGAAGACTAAACGATTTTGTCTTCAGAGGAAACCGGAGGAGGAGGCTCAACAGGGGGACAACGAAGCAAAGAAATCTAAGCCGGAGCCGGCTGTCAATGGCGGCGGCGGGGCCACAGCTCCCAGTGGAAACGAGGTTGCAGAAAAGATGGAAGAGGAGGTGGGCAGCTGAGCAGGGAGCCTGTGCCCTGCACCTTTGCTTTCTTTCCCCCCCCCTCTGTTCACAACCGTGGGTTTGTGCCCGGGAGACATACTGGTTTTACTGCCTGCTGGTCTTCATAAAGCTTCCTCCATGAGGTGGGGAGTGTTCCCCTCTTGGTGCTTGTCACTGTGGGCTGGGGAAACACCGGCTGTGGAGACCTGCAGCCCCTGGGGTGGGGACAGAAAAGTGGGCTGGGTGTCCGAGTCAGGCTGAGCTACAGCCTGGGGCCTTTCCCCAAGGTGTTTTCACCCCTCCTGGGTTTTAATTCTGATCACCTGGGCTATAATTGTCAATATTCTACAATAGTGTTGTGCTCTGAAGACCAGCAAAGCACCCCTAGTCAGTTAAGTCCTCAAATCACAGAAACCTTGAGCTGCTGCATGAATTGGTGCTGTAAGGCATTGTCCTTTTCTTCTTTTTTTTTTTTGTAAAAAAAAAAACCCCAACCTTTTCTTTTCTTTTAGACAGAGAAAAGGCCACAAGCAGAATCAGGGGCTGCAGTTGAAAGCACAGTATGATAATTCTTTAACCTTGGACACTCCTCCTTACAAGGAAAATGGTTTTGTATATAGTGTATTTTTTCACTTTTTGGCAACTTTTGTATGACTTCAATAAAGATTGTAAGCAAAAGGCCCTTGTCTTGACCCTGTTGCTGTCACAAGCCCCGGCCTCTGCTCCTCCCTGCCCCGGGGCTGTGGGGGGCTCAGCCCTGACCTTGCTCTTGGCTTGGGTTTGGTTCTTTCTGGGCTGTGCTTGGTTGCAGGGTCCTGGGGTGCCTCCTGCAGCCCCACCAAGAGCTTGTCTGGCTGGGACATCGGTGAGTCGTGCCATCCCTTCCCCTTCAGCCCTTTATACATGTATGTTCATGCTTGTGGAGCTGGAGGGAGCACAGGGGGTGGTGGGTTCCTAACAGGTCACCCCCTGAGTCCCTGTGGACCCAGGAAGAACATGGACCTGTTGGAACAGGTCCTGCAGAGGGCCATGAAGATGATGGGGGAGCTGAAGCACCTCTCCTATGAAGACAGGCTGAGAGAATTGGGGTTTTTCATCTTGGAGAAGAGAAGGTTTGGGGGAGACCTCATAGTGACCTTCTGGTACCTGAAGGAAGCTACAGGAGAGATGGGGAGGACTTGGAGCGATAGGACAAGGGGTGATGGTTTTAAACAGAAAGAGGGGAGATTTAGATTAGATACTAAAAAGAAATTCTTTCCCGTGAGGGTGGTGAGACCCTGGAACAGGTTGCCCAGAGAAGCTGTGGATGCCCCATCCCTGGGGGTGTTGAAGGCCAGGCTGGATGGGGCTTTGAGCACCTGGGGGCCCTGTGATAATTAAGCCAAGCCCCCATCTGTCCAGCTGCGACACAAATTTTGCCATCCTTTTATTTTTTGTTGCCCTTAAGGTTAATAAAGCCCCCATTTCCCACTCCATCTTGCAGAGGGGGCACTGCAGGAGGCCCTGGGGGTGCCACGGGGCACAGCCCAGCCCCAGCTCACCTTCGGGGAGGTTTGTGCTGCACCGGGGGCTCCCGGGTGGGAGGGGGGTCCTCCAGAGATGTGAGGGGGGGGAGGGGGGGCCCGGGGGGGACAGGGGGATGGCAGGGGGCTGCGGTTCTGCCTGTCCCCAGCGCTGGCTGGGGAGGGTCCTGGGAAAGGAGAAAAGTGGCATTAAGGACACGGGGAGGGGAGGTCCCAGCCTCACCCTGTGATGGACACTGCCAGGAGATGCCCAACCACCCCATGTCCCCAGTTTGGCACCTGGGGCCACACACAGATCCTGCCCTGGTGGCCCTGGCTCCATGTGGCCCCCGTGTCCTCAGCAGTGGCCAAGGCACCACCTCCTCAATCATCTCCCCAGTCATGTCCCTCCACACCCATCGTCCCATCCAACCCCCATCTCCCTTTGCCTCTGGAGACCCAGAAACAGCTCTGGGATGAGGTTCTTACCGGCAGAAGCTCTGGTGAGACCGTGGCTGGTGGGAGCAGGGGGGCCACGGGGGGCGGGAGGATGGCAGGGGGCAGCCATGGCCTCCTCTGCTCCACGTGGCATCGCAGCATCCCCACCTCTGCCTGCAGCTGGGCCAGCTCCTCCGCGTGCTGCTGTGTCACCCGTGACCCTGGGGGGGGAGACAGGACCTCACCACCAGAGTTTAACCGCACCCCTGGGGGGCAGGTGTGTAGTGGTGTCACCCCATTCCTTGTCACCTACCGGTGTTGGCTCTCCTCTCCCTCCTGACCTTCAGTGCCAGGAGCTGGTCCTCCAGCCGCTGGTTCTCCAGCTCCACAGCCAGCAGGGCCGCATCCAGGCCCCGTCCACTAGCATCAGAGGGTTCTGCTGGCACAGCCAGGGCTGTCTCAGCCACCAGCTGTGGGGCTGGGGGTGGGTCGGGGGGGCTGGATTGGGGTTTACCTGGCCTCCTGCCCCTGCGCGGCCCTGTAGTCCCTTTCTCCAGCACCGTGGCCTCCGCCTGCAGCTGGAGGAGCTGGGCCAGGATGGTGGGGTCGTGCCCACCGCCCCGCAGGTAGGACAGTCGCAGCTCCCTGCCCACAGCCCCGGCGTCAGCCATTGCCCGGGCTGGGCAGGAGGCTCGGTTTGGCTCTGCCATCGCCCACGGACCCTCACCTGGCCTCGGCGGCAAGTGGCCCAGCAGCCGGCAGGAGGGCGTCGAGGTGGAGGGCAGCCCTGGAGAGGAAATGGTTAAATCATAGAATCATCTAGGTTGGAAGGGACCTTCAAGATCATCTAGTCCAACCGTCAACCTAACTCTAACAAAAAACATCGCTAAACCATGTCCCCCAGCACCATGTCAACCCGTCTTTTGAACACCTCCAGGGATGGTGCCTCAACCACTTCCCTGGGCAGCCCATTCCAATGGCTGATAACCCTTTCAGTGTAAAAATTTTTCCTAATACCCAACCTGAACCTCCCCTGGCGTAACTTGAGGCCATTTTCTCGTGTCCTGTCGCCTGTGACTTGGGAGAAGAGACCAACCCCCACCTCCCTACACCCTCCTTTAAGGTAGTTGTAGAGAGCAATAAAGTTTCCCCTCAGCCTTCTCTTTTCTAAACTGAACACCCCCAGCTCCCTCAGCCTCTCCTCATAAGACTTACTCTCCAGACCCCTCACCAGCTTCGTTGCCCTTCTCTGGACCCACTCCAGCACCTCGATGTCTTTTTTTGTGGTAAGGGGCCCAAAACTGGACACAATGGGGGAGAAGGGGGGGGGATGAGGGGCCACGGCCCTGTGATGGAGCACCCTGCTCCCTGGGCAACCCCCCGGGAGGGCTCCAGAGCCCTGTCCCATCCCATCTGTGCCCATGTCCCCCGTTCCCCTTGGCTGGGACTCACCCTCCCTGTGTCACTTGCAGCCGTCCAACCTCATCCCTCGGGGCCTGTGGGGCCGGGCTCAGCTCCGGTCCCTCCCGCTCGGGGTGGGGGTCTGTGGCCACCCCCCTTCCCAGCTCCGCCAGCCGCCGGCACAGCCCTGAGGAAGGTTGAAGGGGCTCCCCCCATCTCCCCAAAACCCCCCACCAGCACCTACCCTCCCTCTGCTGCTCCAGCTGCTGGGTCCTGGCCCGGATTTCGGCCACATGGCTCTGGTGGGCCTCCAGCAGCTCCTGGTGTCCTCCTGGTGGGACCGGCCTCCGGAGGGGCTCTCCCTGCTGCACAGGGGGGTGCTGAGGGCAGGAGGGGCTGGACCCCACCAGCCACGGAGCCCGGGGAGCCGTGGGAGTGCGGGGTCGCCCATACCTCCGCCGGCAGCCTCCTGGAAGTGGGGTCGGAGGCACGGAGCAGGGCCCGCTCGCGGGGGGTCAGCACGTCCCCCAGGGGAGCCCCCCGCGCTCCCCCCGGCCCCCGCTGTCCCCTCACGGCCGGGGGGGGCCCGGGGAGCAGGAGGAGACGGTGTGGCTCAGCAGGGTCCCCATGTTGGGACACCCCGACCTCACAGAGACAAAGGGGAAGGAAAAAGGGCGGGGGGGAAAAAACGGCTTAATAACGTAAACTTTCCTGGTTTTGGCAAAACAAGCTGAGCACGTGGTGCAGGGGGGGAGGATGGAGGGTCCCCCCCAGCAGCTCAGGCCAGGCTGAGACATGGGGCTGTGACACCCCCATCCCCAGCACCCACCCCTCTCCCCCTCCCCACACGCCCTGCGCTACCGGGGTGTCCTGTGGCCTCCCCGCCGTGCCCAAAGCCCCCTCGGCAGGCGGTGGGTCCCCCCCAGGGACACAGGGGCTGGTGGCACCGGGGTCCCCCCCAGGCACAGCTTCTGCTGGTGTGCCCACAGCAGCGGCCGGGAGCCAAAAGCCATGTGGCAGCGGGGACAGGCGAAGCCCCCCGAGCCCAGCATGGGGCACCCCTAGAAAGCACAAGGAGATGGGAGGGGGGGTCACCTGGGGGTGCCACCCCGCCAGGGGACACGGGGTCCTCCTGCCAGGCATAGGCCCCCCACCCTGGGGAGGGCTGAGACGCGTGCACAGACCTGGTCGGCGGTGGCTACGGTGGCTGCGGTGTTTGTAGCCACCGTTGCTAGGCTGGGACACTGGGAGGGCGGCCGCTGCCCCGACACCGGCCATTCCCTCTGTTTACAACAGGCACCTGACTGGAAAGAAGCAAAAAAAGGTCACTTGGCTACCCGAGCAATGGACAGAAAACAGGCCGGGGGGACACCCCCTCCCACCCAGCTGCAATGCTCAGCCAGAGGGTCACCCCCACCTCAGGCTGGTCCCAGGGTGCCACAGGTCACCCCCCCTCTTGCCACCAGTGCCACCCATCACAGAATGGGGGATTTGCCCAGGAAAAAGCAGCCGTTCAATTTACAGGGATTTGCTCAATGAGGTTCTCTCCAGAGGGAAGTCTCCAACGCCTTCAAAAGCTTCGTTGATGTTTAACCCATGTGTCCCCTCTGAGGGTGGGGGCACAGAAGCTGGAGGAACAGTTTGGTACAAACCAGGAGCTCTGGGTACACACAGGTCCTTCTTCCCTGTCCCACGTGGGGCAGGCTCCTTGCTCCAGGCAGGAATCATTTTTCCACCTCCTTTGCCCATCATAAGCAGACCTCTTTTTTTTTTTTTTTTAAACTTACCCCATTTCTTGACAACAACGCAAATACATCCGCATAATTTCTCACATAAATCTAGTAAGTTCAATTTTTAAAGAAATGGATAAACTTTTCCAGACAAAAGCCACGTTTGATGAGGCCAAAGTGGTAGGACCTTCAAAAGGAACCGGACCTTCAAAAGGAACCAGAGCTTCTCTAAAACATCTTGTGCTCCCCAGAGCATTCCCAGGAAGACCCAGAGACCTGAGCCTGGTCTGGAAACAGCAGTGATGAAGAAAAACCCCTCACCTGGGGGCTGAGGGCAGCCCCCATCTCCACCTGTCAGTAGGAGCTACAAGCACAAGTAGAACAGTAACACCTGGTGCCGCCGAGCACCCCCTGGAGTCTGGATGCAAAGATTCATGGCTAAACATCGTAATTTTATCATTATTATTGAACATCTCTGTCCTCTCTGCCTGGCCAGGAATGGATTAGAAAAGACCCGAGGGAACCTTGGGTGAAATCCCACCCCAGGTCAGGGAGAGACCAGGATTTCGTACTCCATGTGCAATTCCACCCATCCCACTTGCAAACAGGACACTTTCCAATCCAAAACTTTCGTGTACCAGCTGAACTTAAAAACAGACACTGAAATAGCTTAGGCCACACCCGAGTTGTTTGTAAAATCCTTTTTAATCTAATAGAAATGTTTTCATGACTTTTTTAAAAAAGATTTCAATGAAAACAGCTTTGGATTCAGACATTCCCTTGCCACGTTGTGAACATAAACCAGCAGCATTGCACTAGGAACAAGTGACACCGACCAGTCGAGCTTCACCCTTTTGTATGAAGCGGGAAAAAAAAAGATTAATAAAAAAAGCCAACTGCTTTAAGTGGAAGATAATTCAAATTCTTTTGTTTCTTTTCTTTTTTAAAAAAAAAAAAAAATCAAAAATCAACACAACCAACAACCCAACAAACAGGGGCTATCATCTCTCCATCGTTCTCCTTCTCCCTTCTTAAAGGAAGAGTTCAGCTCCCGCAGTCTGAGCGCTACAGCAGTGTTTGCCAAGTGGAAAAAATAAAATACAGCGGGAGAAGAAACTATTTATCCCCAGTGCTATTCGAATCCCCAAAAGTTGCAGGTCCCTTTAGAGGAAAGCTTTGCTTACATAAGAAAGACAATTAGAATTGGCAAACTGATGCAAAATATTTATTCCAAGTTAGTTATTTTTGATGCAGTAGTTTTTCCCCCTCATACAGACTCAATGTGATAGTCACTTTTTTTAAATCTGTAAATAATGTTATCAAAATAATCTTAATCTTTGAAATCTCACAAAAAATTTATATTTTACAATCCACCCTGAATATCAAGGCTGCAAGAAGAAGAACACAAACAATTCCTATATCCAAATATTTTACAGCTGTACCCAAAAAAAAAAAAAAAGAAAACCACAAACGCCTGGTTAAGTGATGAAGCTCCCCGAGCCGCCAAAAAAAAAAAAGAAGAATAAAATAAAAAAAAATTCATGTTATTAGCATTAATTTAACATAATTAGAACTTCAATAGCCATTTTGTCATTGACAATGATTGTTTTAGCACACTGTTACCGCACGGCGTTGTGCAATGCGGGCGGCACTGTTAGAAGCTTGTTGTTGCAAAGATCAGTCAGCCACTTGTGTCCCGCTTAACAAGACTGAACTTGTGCACTGCCCCACAAGGGATTTTTGTCAAAATTTGCTAGCTGCACAAACTTCTATTAAGCATTAGGGCAAAAACCAAAAAGAAAAAGCTAAAGAAGCCAATTTCTCTCTTCTTTGGGATACAATTATTTCCCTTGTGCATGAAGTATCAACAACAAAAGGAAAAAAAAAAAAAAAAAAAAAAAAAAAAAAAAAAAACAAACAACTGAACAGACTGGAGACAGAATAAACTCTGTTTAGTTTATACAACCCCAAACACGTGTTGAACTATGAACTGAGTTTATTGGGTTGGTTTTATTTATTTTAATTTTCTTGTGCCCACTTTCAGGCATCGTCATCTGACGTTTCGCTGCTACTAGTTTCTGTGTCTGAGTCCTCAATCTTTGTCTTAAAAGTGCTTCTCCAGTGGAACAACAGGCTGGAGCCGCGGCCCTGAAGAAATCCATTCTTCCCAAATCCGTTTCTTCTTCGCTGCAGGAACGAAAGCAAGTTTTAAAACAAGCAAAAGCACAGAGAATAACTGTCACTAACCTTCTGTGGACACAAATGTATATTTAACCATATACACGGTTTTATATATTTATGTATTTAACTCCACATGGTTAATGCAGAGTCATTAATTGCACCAGAATCTCATGTCAATTCTTTGTCTCCTGGAACAGCCATAAGAATTCCAATGCATAAGACTCAAGCATGAGAAGGGAGAAGGAGAAGGAGCAGTCACAAGCGGCAAGAGCTGCAAACATACCTGCTCTGATTTAATTTGGAACTCTTTGAGCTCATCCTCCGTGAGGGGCAGGTAGTTCTCATCGTTTTCAGGATATTCCTGCCATCCCATTTCTTTCAATAACCTGATTTATGGAGAAAATAAAAGGGGCATGAGAATTAAAGCAAAGGAACAATGGCAAAGCAGAGAACATTTTGTCCACGAAGCACAAGGTTTTGTATTAATTCACTCCCAATTCACCAGGGAATCTTCTATATTAGAGACCACTTCAACAATGCTTCGTGTTTACCCAACATTTTTCAATGTCTTTTACAAATATTTAATCATCAGCAGTCCTGTACAATGGGTAAATAATTAGCCTGGCAGAAGGACAGCAAGACAGAGATTTGAAATTCTACCCAAGGCCGCCGGAGGAGGACATGAGGCAATCAAACCAGTATCGCAGCTCGGGATCTCCTAAAACTCACTATCCTCTTACACCAGATGCTCACACGCTGCTTACTCACTGAAGCAAGATAGAAGCTGAGATACCAGGTAAATATTTTCTTAACACTCCTCCACTTTTACAGCATTTAAAAGCAGCACAGGAGTATCCTAAGCACAGACAGAAACAAAGTGGTGTGTGTGCGAGGGCGTATCTTCAGACCATTCCCTTTAGGATACCAGCTTGTACGTAAACCAGAATCACACCAGGTTCATGCTGACTCCCAGTGTGGGCAGGTAAATAACGAGGCATCATTAACGCACAGGGATGTGGCATTAGAGAAGGACCTGAATTTAATTACAGACCTTGGTAAAGTCTTGGCTCACCTGTCATCATTGCCTTGCTTTATTTCCAATAAGACTCCACCCAGTCCAGCACTAGCCATGGAGCCCACACACCTCCAGCTCAGCACACACAGAGCTACAGCTGCGTCCCAGAAAGTGAGTTTTTCTTTGAAATGATTTCCTTCTCCTCACACAGTCCAAGGACTCGCCCTCCTTTACTCCAGACATTTTATTTTGCCATTTACTCACCTGTGTTCTGCTTCCAATGAATGAGAGAGATTTTCCCCCTCCTCCGGCAAAGGGAGAGAAAGACCATTCTGATGGCAGTTCTCTTCCCAGTTTTCCTTTGGTTCTGGTGTGCTGTTGCTCTCCATCTAAAGAAAAATAAAAGCATCAAAGTGTGCTTACACAGACTGAGCCAACAGCACTATTCCAAGTTCAAGCTTCTGCTTTCGGAAGTAAAGGCTTTTACCTCAAGCCAGTGTTTTTTACAGAGCCTGGACTGATAATGGTTGAAAGCAACTTCTACCCAGCTGCGACAACACAATATGAAAGACATTGGGTGAACGGCACTTTGGTGTCAAGGGAGTAAGAGCTGGCATTACAAAGCCACCCTCATGGCTTCAGAGGGAGAGTAAGAAAGCTTTGAGAATGAAATACTCCTACGGTTGGCTTTTACACACACATTAAGCCACAGACATTAAGCATTTAAAGGTCTGGTCTGAGCCTCTGAGGCTTGAGTCACTTTCCTGCGCCTTTCACAAGCCCCGAATTCAACTCTCCTGTGGATGTGGTTTGACAAGGAAGTCTGAAAGCAAATTAAGATGTTAAAATATGGTATTGTTCCACTCCTTAGAGAATCCTTGCAAAAATCTGGATTACATTCACCATCTGTGACCTTCCCTTTCCACCTCATTTATTACTTATCCGTTTGCATTTCATCCTGTTACCCATCTCCCTTCATCACAGCGCTGTGTACTACTTCTGCTGGCATGTGGATTTTTTTTTTTTAATTGATCCCAAATCCTTAAATACGTAATGATCGTATATACAGTAAGGACAGAGAACTTACATCATCCAGCTTGTCACATTCTCTGTTCTCGGTTATCTCCCCATTCCTGTCGTCTTTCAGTGCCTTCAGGAATTCGCTCTTTTTGTCAGTGGTACGGCGCATCAGCTTTGTCAAGCGCGAAGAGCAGATCTCGATGGGAGGGGTGGTGCTGGAAGGACTCTAGGCAAGGAAGGAAGAATATGGAGACTTTCAAGCTGTGTTGCTGCAAAGATAGGGCCCCTCTTCAGGGTCTGTGCTTACACCTTTCAAATGCCCATCAGTTCTT